GAGAATCAAAGTTACGCCTTCTTTCTTTGCGTGAACATTTGTATGGTGTTATGCAAATCTTCCCACATCGTGACGTAGACATGTGGGGGTGTGTTTGAACGAGGCATTTTAGGAGGGCGTGGACCAGTCTTAAAGAATATCTCTTTGGGTTTGAGACTTTAGTCTTTGCAACTTTAGGGATCTTATCTATTCACGAACAGCTTGTAACACTCCAAAGAGAAAGGAAAACTTGAAATCGTATCATATGACCCCTTTAAATAAAGCGAGCAAATCAGTCAGCAGGACACCGGGATTTTTCTTTACTGACTGCAGGGCTGCAGCCTGTGCACACGACAATGCCGTTTATGTTCGGGTCCAGTCCGGTTCGAAAATAAATGCCGTCTAGTCGGACTCAGGTCTAATATCATCGGGTCTGTCTCGGGTCGGGTTTTTCTTTTTTTTTTTTATTATTTATGCATGTCGGGTTCAAGTAAGAACTGATTCGGATCGGTACAGATTTTAGGACCAGAGAAGATTTCTACTTCAAACTGGCTCCAGACTTTTTCAGTGGTAGTGTATGTTTCACAAATAGTAAATGTATTTAGGGTTTCATTTAGAAAGACTGGTAGGAGTTGTGTAAAGTTATTTTTGCAGGTTCTTTACATTTTTGTTGTTCTCAGATGGCGCTGCGAGATCAGGAGACGGTGGCTACCGTTCAAGATATAGAAGTAAGACAGATGGAACTGGATGCCCAGAGACAACTGTTTGAACAGGTTGGCCCCTATAAAAACTTTTATTTCTTTGCAAATGTCTGCAATGTTGATGTACTAGGAGTGTCCAATCCTTCTCCTGGATGGCTATCTTCGTGCAGAGTTTAGCTCCAACCTGCCCCAACACACCTACAGTTGTGCTCAAAATTATTCATACCCTTGATAAATATGATCAAAGAAGACAGCATATTTATTTGCTAGACACAACTGGAACTTTAAACTGGACTGGGTTCAATGGTCAGATGAAACTAAAAAATTAGCTTTTTAGCAGCAAACACTCAAGATGGTTTTGGTGCACACAGGGATAAAAAAGTACCCCATGTGTACAATGAAATATACTGCTGGATCTTTAATGTTGTGGGCCTATTTTTCTGCTGGAGATCCTGGATATCTTGTTCAGATAGATGGCATATAATGGATTCTATAAAATACCAATTGATAAAAAATTAAAAACGGTCCATGCTAGAAATTTTATAATGGGCCATGGTTGTATCTTCCAACAGGACTATGATCCACAAACAAACATCAAAATCAAAACAAAAATGGGTCACTGAGAACAAAACCAAGCTTCTGCCCTGGCCAACCCAGTTCCCTGAGCTGAATCCTGTAGAAAATGAGTGTGGTGAACTGAAGAGAAGAAGCGTCAACATGCAGCTGGAAATCTGAAGGGTCTGGAGAGGTTTTGTATGAAGGAATGGTCTCCGATCTCCTGTCAGATGTTCTCTAAACTCTTCAGGCATTATAGGTGAAGACTATAGCTGTTCTCTTGGCAAAAGGAGTTTGCGAAAAGTATTGGATAAAAGGGTATGATTAATTGTGACCAATGTGTATTAGAGAAAAACATTTATTTCATAATGAGATTTATCTCCCATTTTAAATTCTTATTCTGCAATGAAAGGTTAGATTTTAGTCATTTTTAAAATAAAATATCTAAAGGATTGATGATACAGATTAATTTTCACAGCCTTCTTTGATCATATTTACCAAGGGTATGAATAATTTTGAGCACAACTGTACCTGGAAGTGTCATGTAATCCTGAAGACCTCGATCAGCTGGTTTAGGTGTGTTTAATTAGGGTTTGAGTTTAATTCTGCTGGAAGGTGGGCCTCCAGGAGCAGGATCGGACACTCCTGAGATCATATCTAATCATTGTGTTTTGACAACTAGCAACTGGCCAAAGAGCAAGAGAGAGTGAGTCAAACGGTGAGAGCAGAAGTGGATACGAGGAGATGCAGGGCTGAGATCATAGATTCTACATTTCAAAACCTCATTCAGACAGATGCAGATATCAGCCAGAAAAACAAGAAGGTATGTCTCGCTACAATTTTCATGAAGTGCATATGATTATCTTTGTCAGACATCTTACTCCACCCTGCTCCGGTTTCCTTTCTGCATTCCCTTTCTTTCTGCTTAACAGACTTATGTGTTGGAGTTGATAGTTGAATAAAGTTTGCATGAGACTAAAACTCTTTCAGATGCTGGAAGAGTCTCTGGCAGAGGTGGGACAGATGGAAGTGGATGCTGATTGGCAAGCCGAGGTGAACAAGCGACTGGAAAAAGCAGAGGAGAGGCAGGAGAAGCAAAGAGAGCGACTTGTGAACTTCAGCAAACAAACACATGCTAAAGAGGAAAAAGTAGTCCAGCTAATGCTGGAAGTAGAGGGAAAGCAGGTGAGAATTCACATGTTTAAGGCATGTTGACACATTAGCGAAATTTCAGTGAAATTTTGCAGGCAAAAAAGGTCCATTGTATATTGTCAGTACTGTAGTGGTGTATGTAGCATAGCAGAAACGGAAGTCACTTTCAAACCAAGCAGCTTTCTGTTGGTCAACGTGGTGAATCCACAGTGACCAACCTTAATCTGTTGTGAAATCTGCGTGGGAAAAACTTTCACCCTCACACAAAATTCCGAATGACAATGGTAAATTTGACTGCACCTTTAGTGTTTTGTTTGCTGTTTCAAGGGGACAAAATTCATAAAAAATATAACTTTCAATAGAACATGCAAAAGAATGACATTGTTTCCGTCTCAGTGGGATGATGTAGTAGCTAAACAAGCTAAACTGGAGGAGGAAAGACGGGTGGCCACCACTGTTAACGCCCAGCAGAGGTCACTTATCTCTCAGGAAACAGAAGAGACTGAGAAACATCATGGCAAGCTGCGAAAGAGTCTAGAGGGTTCATTAAGTGAGTTAAGACAAACACTTCTCACAACATGTAATAAAGGATTTGATTGATTTATATTTGTTTGTTTGTAGATCAGCAGATGGAAAAGAGACTCCGATCTCCCTGCTCGTCTAGAGGCCTGCTGCACAAGACCCAGAGTGAGACCACCAACATTTCCTTGATCAGTCAGTCAGACGATTCTATTGGCTGTGAGTATTATTAGTATAAACAGTCAGTTTTACTGACATAATCAAACAAGATTTAATAAAGCAACAAGCAATAAGATCTCTTTATAGTTTCTTTAGATCGTGGCCGAGGGGAGCTTGACTCTAAGGAAAGGGGGTTGATGCAGGAAATCAGAGAACTGAGGATGAAATTAGCTGCCAGAGCGACTGACTTCATCTCACCCTCAACCAGCTCTGTACACTCCCACTGACCACACAGTCACCACCAATACTCCACCAGTGTGTGTGGAACCAGGCACACGTTAAAGAGGATCTGAAAGAAAATGTTTTTAGATCATATGAGATGCCTGCTCAGTTTATATTTGCTTTACAATGACGCTAATCCCGATTGGACAGATTTGTTCATTGATTTCAGATTAATTCTGATGATGCTTTTAATATTTTGTAAATGAAGTTTATTTTTTTGTTTATTTTTTCAGAATTGTTCTTAAAGTAAATGTCTTTTGTATAATCGTTTTCATGTTTTTGTATTAATAAATGAAAAAGGTGTCAATTAATTTTAATTAAAACTGAAATATAATTTAACCGTTTATTTACTTTTCATTGCATTTAAATATTAGTTATTACAATATATTAAAATTAATGCGTTTTTTTATGTTTCTAAAAATAATTATCTTATACTTATCACGTTTGCATTTGTTTAAGAATACAGTAAAATATATTGTGAAAGATTAATACAATTTAAAATAACTGTTTATATGTATTTTATTATATTTAATATAATTATATGTTTTTAAAGTGTAGTCTATTCCTGTGGCGGAAACTGAATTTTCAGCAACCATTGCTCCAGTCTTCAGTGTTACGTGATCCGTCCAAAATAATTTTAATATGCTGATTTGGTGCGCAATCAGCATTTCTTATTAACGCCAAATCGAAAGTTATATTTTCTGGATTCTTTTATGAATAGAAAGTTAAAAAGAACAGAATTTATTTTAACTTTTATAACATTATAGTCGTCTTCACTGTTGATAAATGTAATGCACCCTTGCTGACTAAAAGTATTATTTTCTTAAAAAAAAAAAATATATATATATTTATATATACAGGGTTTAAATTGGGCCGGGGCCGTCCGGGGCTCGACATTAACGCCAGACAAGTAACATTATTAAAACATCAGTAACCAAAAAATAAATAACTATGTAAACACCAAAACTCAAGTATTATTCTGGTTTTATTACATTTAGAGTAAGTGGCGAATAGTGGATATAGCTACTGTATATAATGCATCTACTGACAGTATAAGGTTGCGCTGCTGAGGCGAGGCTCACGCAGCCTCTCCAGGAGAAATCAAGCATCCTGAGGTAAAAATTCAAAATGGAAAGTTTTTATATT